TTTGCTGTGCCTGGGAGTTGTTGTTGCTGGTCATCACGTTGCTGAGGGCAGTGGCAATGGCCGACCCTAGCGCATTGACGTCTATACCCGACGTCGTCATCGCGCCGCACCTCACTCACGAATCGCCACACTTCGCTGCGCCCATGTCAGATGCGGTGTGTGCGAGGTGAATGTCCGTTCAGTGAGCCACATACACAGATGGCCATGTCCACACACACATAGTGACCACCGTGAATGTAGGTGCGTACCTGAGCCACATACACAGATGGCCATGTCCACACACACACATAGTGACCACCGTGAATGTATCATACAGTGTAACACAACGGCCGGCCAGGTAAATCTGACACGCACCTGCGTATACACGCGTGGACTTAGAATGTGTGTATACGATGAATGCTTCCTGCGCATGCACGCTTGGACTTGGAGTGTGTGCATATGATGAATACCTCTGTGCGCGCAGCTGCGTATGCATACACAGAGCATGAAACTGCATGCATACCTGGTCTCGAGGCCTCAGGTGCGGCTACAGCAGCGGGTAAGCGACCAGCTGCACAAGTTCCGCTTCAATGAGCTCTTCAACTCCCTCCCGCCGGACGGCAGAGCCCGCGCCCGCCTTTTGAGCTGTCGAGGACCTCTCTCATCTGGTTGGTTATCCGGAATCCCTTCCAGCGACCACAAGTCCCTGAACAACTTCCAGTGCCGCCTTCCCGTCGCCGAGTGCCTCGGCATCGCCTTCCCGCACGCGACCGTCACGCAGCGATGCATCTGCGGTGACGAGGTCGATAACCACTACTTTGTCTGCCACACAGCCCGCGTGTGCATTACGAGACACAACAACATACGCAACTTGTTTGTTCGCATCCTGGCTGAGGCTGATGTTCCCTCCAACGTGGAGATGCCCCTGCAGAGCCTCGGCATCACCCCTCCGGACGACAATCCCAACAGCCAGCGCGTGGACATCTATGGCGTGATCGACGGCCACGATTACATGCTCGACGTGACCATCACCCATCCCTGCTGACCTGACGCATCCACTATCCCCTCCCACGGGACGGTGAGCCGGCCGGCGCGAAACTTTCAGGTAGCAAAGCAGCCCAACTTGCGGAGAAGAAGAAGATCGACAAGTATGGCTGCCCCTCAAGCAGCCGGCTTTCGCTTTGTCCGTCTCGCCGCGGGGGCATTTGGCAGAGGGGGAGAGCAGACAAGTCTCAAGATGCTCGCCAAGTGGAAGCCTTGCCCCACCTCTATTCCTGCTGACGAAGATGGGGCTTCTCGAGAGAGCGTCATCAACCATTGGAGCCAGCTCCTGTCCGTGAAGCTGACAAAGCACAACGCTTTTGAAGTGGCCAGTTGTGCGCAGCGCCGCCAGAGGGCCGCGGAGGGCCAGCGCTTTCCAGAGGACTTCGTCAGCCGCGGGCCATACAGGCCGCACACCAACCCCGCCTCGGGGCTGTAAGGTGGCTGGCTGGCTTCGGATGCCGTGTGCATCGTGTTGCATGTCTCGTACTTGTGTGTTTGCAGTGAATCCTGTGTGTGCCTGCACCGTGTGTCTTCGCACGGATGTGTGTCCTGCGTGGCGTGCAGTGGTTGAACGTCTGTTCTTTGGTTTGCAATGTGTGTTTCCCGTTGCCCTGCGAAGTTTGCTTGATTCGATCGTCGGTGTCTGGATGAGGCTTACCAACTACGTCGCCCCTTCTTGGTTTTACTGCAAAAACAATGGTTGCATACGATATGAAGCGACACGGGGGCTCACAAAGCGGACGAGGGACTTGTGCGACGCGTATAGGGGCCTCGGCTGAGGAAGTCCTCTGGACTGAAGCCCTTTTTCTCTCGGGTCCTCCTGGAGATGCGACATATTTCGCGCAACTAGCCACCTGGAACGCGTCGTGCTTTACGAGCTCCACGGACAAGAGCCGCGCTAATAGTTGATGATACGAGCTCCACGGACAAGAAGAAATACCACTCGGCCGTCCGCGACTCCCGCATGACCTTCTGCCCTCTGGTGGTGACGTGTGACGGTGTGTGGGGACACGGTGCCAACGTGTTCATCGCCCACATGGCTCATGCGCTGTTGGAGAAGGAGGGGTGGAAGGGACGGGGATTCAGTCATGTGTCTGGATGGATTCGCTCGCGTTTGTCTATCGCCCTCGCGCGTGCGACTAGCTACTGTCTGCGTGGGGGAGGGAGGGGAGGGTTTGCGGGGCTGGGGTGTTGTGATGGGGCGGGGATCGATCCCTCCTCCCCTTGAGCCTGTCCGATTGTTTGACTCTGCGTGGTGGTGGGACTGTATTTATATGAGTGTCACGGACACACAGACAATTGTTATGGTTAATGCACGTTGTCTCATTTTCGTGTATGTAGCGTGATCTGCGGGCGATACTCGCGAGGCTGTATGGCTACCGAGACTTGAGTGAACAGCTGCCCCCCTGAATGCCCAGCCGGCTGGATGACCTTGAAGCTTAATAGATTGGCGAAATCAAGCCTGCTGCGATTGTTGTCCCACCGCGTCCCGGCTTTTTCGAACCCGCAAACTATGAGGTGACCTCGAAGCTTCTCCAGCGGGCGAAACCGCCGGACAGCCTGAGTCGAAGCTTCCCCGCTAAGGTCGGGCCACGATTCCATTACGATTCCACCGAGCCTCAATTCGTTGAGGGAGCTGTCGGGAAGTATTGACCAAGGAGCGCCTCAGTATGCCATTGATTCGGAAAGTGGGCCAAGCTGTAGACAGACTTTGGGAGAAGAAAGGATCCCTTGGCATCAGGTCCTCCAGAGTGAAGACGAAGGCGACCCTTCTCGGCCTCGTCGAAGGCGGCTACGAGTCATTGCGAAAAAGCGGATTCGGCCCCTACCTGAGAGAACACCGTGATGGCTTTGGGGGTGTCATCAAGGATATCCCTTCCGATGACAAGGCAGCGGAGAGAAAGCAAGCAAGCTCCAAGAGGCAGCTCCTACGTCGTCGCATTGTATCGGCTTTCTTGGAGCTTCAAACCATGCTGATCGGCCTCGCTATGTGTACCTTCAGTATTATGGCCTACTACGACATCACAGAAGTCAATAAAATCAGCGCCAAATGGCTCATGTATGTGTTCGTGTCTGCCGTGGGTCTGTTCGTCGCAACAGCACTTTTTCTTGCAGTTGGCTCTTCATGTATTCGCGTACACCAGTATGCTGAGGGCGAGGGTGGGGAGGACGATGAAGATGAGGAAGATGCATAGCCTTACTCATCCTGCTATACAAGTACCTCTATCTGTGTACATGTTCGTAGTGTAAGGATCAGTGGATTTGCAGTGAGGCAGGTAAAGGCCGAAGCCTCATTCATGCATGGAGTGGCGCTCTATGGTTGAAGAGCAGAAAAGACCGTACGGAACAATGGATGTGTGCAGCCACTTTCCTTCCGTAGCTAGCGGTAAAGCAGCCGTTGCAATAGTAGGGAGATGTCAATACTTCGGTATGCATGAAAAACGACTCGAGGACTATCTGGCTTCGGTTCTCCTGTATTGAAAGCGGAAGCCTTTCTTATGCTCATATCTCTCAAGTTGATCCATCTCGGTGTCGAGTAGAATTGTTTTCGCACAGGCATTTTCCTTCTTTGGAAGGGTCGACGCGTGCATCTCCAGGTGTGTTAAGGACCACCAATCTGGATTAAACCAGCGAAGATTGGTTATCACCTGTTACAAGTCAATTCAGCTTTTTACTCACCTTCCGAAGCTGCGTAGAGTTTTGGTCTTTGGTATTTTCTGGTGCACACCCGCCATGAGCAAAGCAAGACCCACAGATATTCGACTGGCCAACACTTACTAAGTTCGTGCGACTCACAAGTATGTAAACGCATGGCTAATCGATGTTTGACAGCACTTGCAATGTTGTTCGTTGTATCTTCTTGCGCAAAGGCAGCAATCACGCCAGCTACCTCCCTCGGAGCTTTGAGTCATGCGGCACGCACAAACAAAGAGTCTGACCGCCCTCGTATCTTCGTGTCTCCCTTTGATAATAGAAGTGCAGCACACCCTAAGAGGGAGAGAATGCAAGAGATAGGTGCTTGCATGAGGAATGATGTACTTATGTACCTTGTCATCAATGTGCCCTGCCAATGAGAGAGGTCACCTGTCATGAGACAACAGCCTACAGAGACACACAGCTCGCAGACAGGCGCATCATGATGTGTGTGTGCCAACGTTTGTGCATATCTGTGTGGGACTTATCGATTGTGATGGTTTCAATCGATTGGATTGAGGCATGGCATTCAGTGCTTCAAGCACGGGAAAATCAAGTGTCTGGCTGTCTCCTCGCTCTCGAGTCCCCCCATCTAGGCACAGCCCGACCCCTCCCCCTCCCTTCTACTCACAGACGCATGCATGCATATGTGCATCCACACGTGCACACGTGTGTGGGATCTGAGCATGCCTGGGCACTCTCAGTGCATGGACCAAACACGCCACATGAAGGCGAGTGCATGCAGCTTGCACACCACTCAATGTCGGGTCAGCCGACAAATTGGTTGCATCAGTGAGTCACTGGCACACCGTCTGAGGTGTGCAGGCAGAGGTCACAAGCGACCCCCTCTCTCCCCCTCCCCTACTCACGTCAACACGTGTTTGTCACACGCAGCAGTGGGTCTGTCTCTCTGACCATTGCAAGTGACACACCTGACTATCATCCATCGTCCTGGTGCCTTTCTACCCGTCATGTATGCATGTCAGGAGCCTCAGCTCCGTCAGCATGCAATGAATCGGTGAGGCTACCCCTCACCCGCCTATGTACTCAGAGCTACCGGTCTGTGTTGGGTGTCTACCCCCACTGGATGCCGGAGTCCGGGTACCCGCCCATCATCGGAGCGGACGAGCCCTCATAGCCTCCCCCGCCGCGTCCGCCTCGCCCGCCGCCTCGCCCACCGCCCCTTGACCAGAAGGGGCCTGAGGGGCACACACATATGCACTCATGGGCGGTGATTGGCGGTTTGACGCGTCTGCCGTACCGTTGTGGTCGCCTTGGCCGCGTGGCGTCTCTGGGCGTGTGCACTTGAAGGTGTCCTCTGATAAAAGCAACACACGCCAGCGTGCATGGCCTCGCAGGGGTGAGCTCGATTGTCCTGCTCACTTGGCTTGGGAGGTGCCTTGGGGAACCCCACCCCGCTCTCAGAGGCCGACTGCTGGGCCTTGACCTCCGCAGCGATCAGGGCCAGTGCCAACTCCAACTTAAGGCCGTTCTCGATGCCCCCGAGGCTGAGGATGCCCTCGATGGCCGCACTGGTGATGCGCCAGTGCTGGAGGGCCGCGTAGGGGCTGTCCATGCCCTCTCGCTCGGGCATCCTCCTCAGCACCACATCCCCGTCGGTGGTGGGCTCCTGCAGCGAGGCAGGCACCTCGTTGCGGCTGACAAAGTGGGCCGTGCCGTTGTTCATGGTCAGCTCGCGCGCCAAGTCGTCCGCCACTTCCCAACTCACGCGATGGGGCCCGACGCTGATGCCGATGGCGGGCAGCTCGGGGTCACGGGATGACCTGTTCAGACGCAGTTGTAGGCTAGGGTGGAGGCGGCCTGGTGTCGGTGCGCTGCCGGGCATGGGATGGTGGTATGTGTGGCTGTGGGGGCCGAGGTTGGGGTGGTGTGCGGAGCCGTTGAGGTTGGAGTTGTGGTCGTAGCTGTGCGGGGGAATGGCACCGGTGCCCGGCACCATCGGCATCCCCATGCCACCCACCAACGCACCTGCAACAAACACATGGCCAAGTAAGGGCATGTGTGGCGTGACGAGTGTGCGTGAGGCATTCTCACCGTTGTCCATCGTCATGTGCGGCGGCATCTGCATGGTGGGTGGCGCCATGGAGAAAGCCGTCTGCGTGACGGACGATGCGGGCGGACCATCCATCGCTGCGGCCACCATGGGCGGACCTGCTCACCCCACACACGCACCAGCCCACCAAGATGTGCATGCATTAGCATGTGCGAGCGAGCGTGTGTATTCGTCCTTCTCACCGTGTGTGGTGGGGGCACTTGACGACGCGCTCATGGTGTAGTTGGTCGGGGTGGTCTCGCCTGACGGGACGTCTGACACCGACACCCACACATGGCATGGATGCATTCACGCCCTTCTCCCTTCCTCCCGACCGATGCCCACCGGAGGATGGCCCTGAGTCAGTCCCAATGAGGCCACCACGCAGGAAGAACTCTCGGCTGATGTTGTAGCCCGCTAAGGGGGGCCGGACGCCTTGCGCGAAGGCTTCCAACTGCGCCTTGAAGTGGGCGTGCTTGTTGAAACTCTTGCCGGTGGTCTCTCGCAGGCGTTTGGTCTGTTCGTGCTGCCACTGGATGCCTGACACGGACAAGACACATGCATTGTGTGTGTGCGTTGCGGGTGGATTGACCACCTGGTGCGTTCATGTCCTTCCGACACTCGCACTCGGTCGGATCCACATCGAAGGAGTAGCGAGGGATGCTGGTCAAAACCACCTTCTTCGTGTCACGATACTCCTTCGCGCGGCCTGCACGCACACAGAGAAGCCACATGAGCGCATCTCATGACACTCACTTCCCGACCTCGTCCCCTCACCTCCGGCGAGATCGACGTAGGTATCGAAGATGAAAAACTCGCGAGGGGCGCCAGGCTCTCGTTGCTTCACCCTCACACCACCATGGGTGGCCACGTAGACAAACCCGCCCCTCTCCATCTCGAAGAGGTTTTCCTTGCTGTCCAGGTGGTCGACGGCCGTGAAGACCTCGCTCAGGTGTCTCTGTGACATCGGGTACAGCGACAGGTCTGGCCCGCCGTACTTCTCCCTGATGGCGGGGACACAGCCGGTGAGCGTCTCCCCTATCATGTCGTAGCGCTCCTCCTTGAACTGCTCGCTCTCTGCATAGACCCGTCCACAGACAAGGAGAGGCATGTGCGTCTTTTCCCCTGCCCCCCTCTCTCTGTTTCACTCGTGCTGTGCGCACCTTTGAATGCCCCTTCATGGGAGCTCATCTGCTCGTCCTTGGCGTGCGAGGTGGTGCCCGCCGCACCACCATTGCCGCCCTCGTCCACAGCAGGCTGCTCCTGCCCCTCTACAGGCTGTGTCATCTCCTGCATGACACACAAGCAAGGCACACATCAAGGAGCCGGACCGTGTGTGTCCGATGTCTCGACAAGGATGACTCGCTCATCCGCTCCGTGCACAAGAACATACACGCATGCTGCCATGCATGGCTCTTCTCTCTCTCTGGGAAGCCCGTGGTGCGCAAAGGCATGTGCAAGTTCGCGAGTATGTGCATCTCACCGTGTCGTGCTGGTCTTGAGGTGGCACTACGGTGCCCTCCTCTCCAGTGGGAGGCACCACTTCCCCCTCCTTCGGCACTGTCGACATGACGATGCCCACTCGCCACTAAAGGTCTCGCAGTTGATGAGCTGCCCACGGACCGACAACTACACGTACCCTCCTCCTCTCAGCATGAACTGAGAGGTCGCAGGGAGGGGGATGGACGCTGCGGCTGCTGCGAGCTTTGGCAGTGGTTTGACGGGAGAAAGTCTCGAACTTCCCCGGGGCCCTGTATGCATGCAATGGGGGCCGCAAGCTTGGCTCAGCCAAGGGCCTTCCTCGTGGGCGTGGACCTGTCGTACTGTCTGCCAAGGGCGATTCCTTGTTGTTTTGCGGCCGTGGTCACTTCCTGCCGCCCCGTGTGGCTGCTCCACTCTTCCTCTTCCCTCCCTCTTGCTCATCCACCAAGGCCGCTTTTCCTCGGTCTTCTGCCTCTCTACTTCACCTTCTCCCTCACCTATAACGATGGTGACGGTCGGTAATGGCATTTGCACAGAATGCCGCACTCATTTTCCTTGGTGTGTGTCTGTCGGTCGGTATGCGTGTCTCTCGTCGATTTCTTGCACTACTCGTGTCTCCAGGCTAGGACGGGCTGGTTTTCGTTTTCGCGGGTTGTGTATTCACTGGTCGAGTCACGGAAAAGGGACACATAACCGCGGAAGTCCCTGAAAACACACACATCCGTAATCGGTAGACGAGCCAAAAAGAGACCTTTTTCCCTTGCGATTCTGTGTCGGCATGGCGTGAATGGACAAAGACTCGTGTGATCTGGACCTGTGAAGATCCCCACACATCCAGCAGCAAGCAGCGCGTCGGGCAGGGCAACATCCATCCCCTTCTCGGATCTCTAGTTTGTTGGCCTTCATCTCATCCTCTTCATCGGACGGGCACCAATCCCACCCATCTTCCCTCATCCACGGTAATAGGAAGGCAGGCAGATCTCCACGGGGAGAAAAGCAGACCATGGCACGTGAGGCAGGAGGCACAGGCGAGCCCAGAAGCGTGTGGTGGCTGTTAGCTCTCGTGCGTGTAGGGCTGAAGTTATGGTAGGCATCCCCGTTCGTGAACTGCAGCAGAGGCGTCCTCTGCTCCTCCTGCCTCCGGCTGCAGCAGAGGCTGTCGAGAGAGAGGACTGAGGCACGGATGGGGGGTGTCTGCCATGATGGACACCTGAACGGGATCCGGGATGGATCTATGGATGGGCAACTCCATGGGGCTGCCGGCTCTGAGCCGCACGTCAGCACTGAGGGCGAGGTGGACACTCGTCAGCTCAAGGATAGAGGGATGGCTTGGTCTTTCGAGTCAGCGACCACAGGTGCTATGGTCATGCAAGCAAGGCAGGGGTGGTCCACCTTTTGGCTGGGCCCTTACCGCAGCGTTTGGTTGTGTTGGCCCGCGTGATGGCGAGGGTGATCCCTCGTCGCGGGGCGTCGGCGTCGTGCGGCGCCCAGCCTCACAGACACACCTTCGAGTAGATTCTTCAGCTTACTGTCGGGAATCACGGGTCGATCCAGCCGCCTTGAGAAGGGTGCTGGGTGGAGCCTTGAACCAACACCGTGATTACATCATCCCTGGCACGTCACACGCATAGATGAAGAGCACATGTGGTGTCAAGCCATTTTTGTGTACTTCTTTGCGTCTGCTTTAATCAGATTGGACATGTAGAGCCGTTTGAAGAGTTGCACTCTCAGTCGCGATCCGCCGAGTGTTTCTGGATCAGACTGAACTACTCACCCACTCAACAACCTCTCTGGGCGCCTCCATGGTGTGGGTTTCATGCTTGTCGCGTGCCGTCCTCTGTGTGCATGGATTAGATGGGGGATAGGCTGTCGTGTGTGTGTGTGGTTCTGCGAGTCGGTGCCTGTGGGTTTGGGCGCGTGTGCGTGTGTGTGTGTGTGTGGGTGTGTGGGCGGGGTGTGTGTGTGTTGTGTGTGTGGGCCGGTGTGTGTGTGGTGAGGGGTGTCTGTGTGTGTAGGGACATGTGTCTGTGCGCTTGCGTGTGTTATGCCGTCGCGCCCGTCGATTTTCCTGCGGTGATTTTCGAGGAGATGCTTGCGTGTATCCGCGGGGTGACCGCCTCTCGTCGCCTCCCGCCTCAGGGGCGTGGGGCGACGTGGGCACGGCTGCTCGCGGCCGTATCTGAGCTTCCCTTCTCTTCGTGTCCAGGGTATTTGCCGCTGGCCGGTCGATCTGCGCTGTCTGTCTCATTCGTACCGGGCGCATGTGGTTACGTGGCGCTGTAGCGTGGTTCGCACGTCACCAGGGCCCCTTCCTATGGCCGCGTGGCCGCCGCCTGCCGGCCGTCTGAGGGGGTGACGTGCATGCTTCAGTGCGCATCTGTCTTCATGTTGTCGCCCTTTCCGTGACTCTGCAGATTCGCCGGCCTGCTTCTGCCCTTTGCGTGTTGCTTGTTGCTTGTTGCGTGTTGCGTACTGTGTGTCGCGGGTTACATGTTGCGTGTCGGACAAGCAGGGGACCAGGCCGTCGGCCACCTAGGGCATCGCGAGAAACCGCTCCCCCCGTTTCTGGATCACAGATCGATTGCACTTAGGTGCACTCTACATGTTAAGGATTGATGATCTACGACGGACTGGATGGGCAGGGCATGCAAACAGTGATCGAATTGGAGGGACAGCTAGTTTAGTTCTTAGTATGCATTCTTGATGGACTCCTCGTGCCGATGCGCTTTTCGTCAACCACGTTCTCCCCCTCTTGACGACTATTGAGAGGCAGATCGATGAACGATAGAGGCTTGGGAAGTCCACAGCTCTCTACACACAAGCAGGCACACAAAAGGTGACCCTTCTGCCGTATACAGACACTCCAAGTCGACGCGTGCATGCGCAGATGTGCGCACAGAGATATTCGACATATGCACTTCAAGTCGATGGGTGTTTGCGCAGGTGTGCGCACAGAGATATTCATTCTATACACACACTCCAAGTCCAGACATGAAACTGACAATACGCCTCATTCTTGCTAGAATAAAGAATTTATCGTGAACGCATCAACTCAGCGTTTCCCCACACGCTCTCACAAAAAGAGAGAAAGACGGAAACAGCAGAGTGTGCCAACGATCGATCGAGGCATGTGTAATTGACAGAAACGATGGAGTGCTGCTGTTGTTGCGAAGTGCTCATGATGCCCTTCGCCCCTGTCTGTGACCCTGATGAAGGCGCTCGGCTCAGAGAAGTGGACGTGTGTGGACGTGTGTCGGGATGTGATGGACGGATGGATTGGATGTCGTGGACCGTGTGCTGATGGAGAGGATGCCGCCTGGATGAATGGATGAATGGATGGTGCTGGTGCTGATGCTGATGGATGGCAGGCTGAAGGATAGTAGTTGTGTGTAGGCAAGCATGACGATAAGCCGTAGATACGCACAGCGAGAGGCAGGGCAGAAAGAAGCGCTAGATAACCCCGCATTGCATGCATGCGTGGGCTTGGGGGCGTAAGACAGGAGATAGCAGCAGTTGGCCGAGCGAATTAGTGCCGTTGCGTTTCATGATTCGTTGTTGATCCTCCGATATGCCAACAATCCTGTGTTCGACGATGAAGGGTCACCGATGGTGCCTGATGAGCCACACGAGATATGCAGGATCAAGTGGCGAGCGACTTCGACGTGGCCGAGCACGAGCTGGCGGGCGTGCTGCAGCAGCTCGTGCGCGAGAAGTGCGAGGTGTGGGGCGAGCACTTCACCAAGGGCATGAACCGGCCGGCGGACATGCCCGCCGGTGTGTGCGTGCGAGACGAGGGGCTGCTGGTGCTGGGCTGCCCGTTTGGCACATCGGAGTTCATGGAGCGGCACTTCGCCAAGGTGCTCAAGAAGACCCAGCACCTTCTCGACAACCTGCCCCGGCTGGAGGACCCGCAGAGCGCCGGGAAATTCCTCCGCTTCTGCGCCACGCCGAAGTTCCACTACCACCTCCGCACCTCCCTCCCCTTCACCCGCCCCCTCGCCGAGGCTGCTGGCAAGCACTCTCGCGCCCTCATCCAGGCCGCCTGCACCCTTTTCTTCCTCGGCGACGTCCAGACCAAGACCGTCCGCCAGCTCAAGCTGCCGCTGACTGAGGGGGGGTTCGGCCTCACTGATGCCGCCCGCATCGCGCCAGCGGCGTACTTCGGCGCGAATGCGGTGGTGTTGGCCGATGTCCTCGCCCGCCACGAAGGCGCCGCGTGGATGCCGGCGCATGGGCGCGCAGGGCTGGAGGCGCAGCCATGGGTGCAAGCGATCCAGGCCGCGTACGACCACCTTCTCACCCACTACCCCCGCTCCCCCCAGTCCGACCCCCTGCCTGACGTCCGCAGCCTCATGCTCCGCCCCGTCGGCGGCCTGCAGGCCAAGCTGACCCAGCGCATCCACCAGCAGGAGTCCGCCTCCCTGCAGGCAGCCCTGAACGACATGCGTGACGACGCCGGCCACCCGACGACCGACGGAGCCCGTCTGCAGAGCTGCAAGGGGCCGGGGGCGACGGCATGGCTGCAGGCTATCCCATTCAGCCCCGCAACGACCATCTCCCCCGACGCCTTCGTGTGGAATGTGCAGTTCCAGCTCGCGTGGTGAAGGGACCGACGACCTGTGGGGCGTGCACGAAGCCCTGCGACCCGTGTGGCGACCACATGCTCAAGTGCCCCAATCGCGGCTACCTCACCAACCGCCACAACACCGTCCAAGCGACCGTCTACCGTATCTGCAAGGAGGCCCGATGCCCCAGCGTGAAGACAGAGCAGCTTCTGCGTGACTACCAGTGCCCACTCCCGCAAACGACCGACAAGCAGCGGATGGACCTGGTGATCACCCAGCATGACGGCTCTAAGATCATGGCTGACGTCACCGGCACTCACCCCACTCACGCCGACCGCCCAGGCGACCCCAGGAACCTCACCAACCAGCGGCCCGGCTCAGTACTTCGCACCGCCGAGAACCGCAAGAGGGGCCAGTACGCCGTTGCATGTGCATGAGGAGGGTACACGTTTTTGCCTTTGGCCTTCGAGTCGTATAGACGGTGGTCTCCGACTATGGAGACCTTTTTGCACAAGCTAGGCAAGGCAGTGAAGGAAACTCACTACGGGGACGACAGAGATTTTTCAACAGGCCGCGTCGTGGCCCGATGGTGGGTCCTCTTGTCGTGTGCAGTCAGGCGTGAGTGTGCCCTCACGGTGCGCGGCAAGAGTGAGACCGCCACACCATTCATCCGCCCCTTCCCCCGAGACGAAGTCTGGGGGAGGGGCCCTTACTCTCCTTCCTAGGCCTTTTGCTCCGCACACCGTGACTTCGTGTGTGCGGGCGTGTCTGTATATGGGTGCGTGCGTGTGTGTGCGAAGGTGTGTATGCGGGTGAATGTGTGTGAGTGTGTGGGTGTGTGCGAGTGTGTGGGAGTGTGTATGAGTGTACGGGTGTCGGTGGGCGTGTGTGCGCGTGAGCTGCCGGCGTCCGTGTAGGGGTGGGTGACGTGGGTGGATGCGCCGGCGTGGCGCCCGTCTGCGTCAGGTCTGTCTATGTGTTTTGCCGCTCTTGTCGCGGGCGCGCTGGGTAGTCGGTCGATCGCCTGCCGCCCCCCTCCGCCATGGAGGCTGGGGCGGCGGTGCGCCTGACTCTCGTACATCTCCATCTCTCCACCCTTCCGTGCGTGCCTGTGCCGAGGGCGGGTTTGTGTGTGACCGGGCGATCTGCACTGACTGGCTGGCCACCTGGGGATGGGCGGTACGTACGTATAGAGTCATGGTGCAGCACGCACGCCTCCTCAAGCAGGCCGCTGGGGTGGCGTGTGTGCGATGTTCCCTGCCTACTCGTCTGTTCCCTCGTTCGCAGCGCACTGCCTACCCGCCTGTTTGCAGCCCCTGCCCTCTGCGTGCTGCGTGGTGCGTGGTGCGTGTTCGTGTTGCATGTTAGGGTGCGTGTTTGCATGTTGGGTCGGACAGACAAAGGACACGGCCGTCAGGCCACCTAGGGTGCTCCCTGAAACCGCTGCTCCGATATGACTTGACGTCATTCTCTCGAGATCTGTTGCTTCGGCACGGTCTTCGGTCGTTCCGACCACATTCCCTTCGGCAGGGCGTCTTCCCAAGCCGCCTTTGGAGCCGCAGAGTGATGGTGGAGTGCGCATGTGAGTGATGGTGGAGAACGAGTACGTCGTCCTGCGGATCACCCTCTCGGTGCCGGTCACCCTCCCGGTGAGTCCGCAGCGAGGCGACACGAGTACTCGTACGACAGCTAGCTGCCCTTCTAGCATCCTCTTCCCTCAGCCAGATCTCGCTCTTCCTCTGAGTCCGCGTGCCTTCTCGTCCTTCCAGGACTCACCCTGGTGCTGACCTACTCCTCTCCTCTCTCCCCGACTGACCGGTTGCATATCAGGGGATGCTTTTGAGGGTTATGTCTCACTGGGAATGCATGCACGCATATCTGCCTGAGATCTGCCTGTCTGTCCGTCTGTGTTGTCTCTCTAGCCTCCCAGTGTGTGCCTACGTATCCGCCACAAGGTCCGTCCCCTCGCCGATCACATACTAAGGCAGACAACACGTCCACACCCGCACATCGGTCAGGAACACGGGACACTCACTCAAAGCGGACGGCACGAAAGCATGTGTGTGGCTGGCTATCTCTCTCTCTCGGTTGGCTGAGATCAGTCGGTGATCTGGTGTGTTTGCGTATGGATGGCTGGTATGGTTCTCGGGTGGGTTTGACAGTTGCCAGAGAGAGGACATCCACACCATAACACTTTCGTAACACTGGTGCATCTGCCGTTCTTTTTTTTCCATTCGCAGGTCTGTCGTTTGGCTGCGAGGGGTGTGGTCTGCCCATGGGCGTTGTCGTCATTGTGTTTGGTGTTGGTTTGGATGGATGTGTATCGGTCTGGATGAGAGCGAGATGGTGTCCATGTGGCTGTGGGGAGGATCAGATCAGCCGCACATAACGAGCCAGCCTCAGCCAGATCTACCACGAGAGCACCGGCATTCAACGTTGCGTCATCTCTGCTGTCCGCTGCTGTCGTTGCTGTCGTTGCTGTCGTTGCTGTCGTTGCTGTTGGGACGTGTGCTGGTGGTCGCAGGTTGAGTTTGTTTCGGTGCGAACAAGATGACGACTTCTCCCCCCTCCTGGACTGACTGGCTCGATCTCATCTACAGGCGCACTGATCTCATCTACGCCTGCTACGTCGACGACATCATCGTCGCTTCCCGCACCCCTGCTGTCCTCTTTGAGCTGCTCTCTCACCTCAAACGCGTCGATCGGCTGTCCTCTGCTGCCTGGCGTGTGCGCTGACCGTCCCGTTCGAACTCGTGAAGTCCTCCTCGAACTCTGAAGCCCTCCTGATGCCCCTGCGTTGTCTGGTGTCTGTAGCTGATCCTCGTCTGCCCGCTCTCTGCTGTTGTCATGTCCAAGCCCTCGTCCAAGCCCTCGTCTCGTCTTCGACCTTCTGATCTCGTTCGTGGCCCCCTGCTCACCCACCACACGGCGTCCGAAACCATTCGCGAGAAACTCAACCGCTGCCTCAGGAGAGTGGATTACGACCGACGAGACGAGTACGAGCTGGTGGGGTTTCTCTACGCTAAGGAGCAGGTCATTGACGAAATCGATGAGCTCGATGAGCGCCGCGATTGATCGGGTATCTCACGGAGGGAGTACGGCGAGAGGGTGAACGACATGCGTCGCCGTCTGACACATGTGCAGCAGGAGATCCAGCGTCGCACGGCGACTCGGCGACCCCCCTCCTCTCCCCCTCCCCGCACTCGTGCGCCCCGTCCCCGGTCTCGTTCTCGTTCGCGACATCTCTCGCCGCCCTCATATCAACGTGTCACGATCGACAGGAGCGGTGATCGTCGTCTGGACAGGAGGTCTGGTGATCGTCGGTCGCAGCGTCACGGTGGGGTGGAGCTCAAGCCTGCTGCTGTTGTTCAAGCAGAGGAAGCGGCGCGTGTGCAGACGACCGAGCCCGCTGAGCCGTCTCAAGCACCCGAGACCCAGCAGCCCCCCACACAGCCACAGACGACCACACCACAGCCCTCCCACGCCACGTCTGAGCAGCAGCACACGTACAACCCCGACACCGAAGAGGTCGGCGACCAGGAAGATCAGGACGACGAGGAGCAACAGGAGGACTCTGAGGAACAACAGGAGGACGAGCAGCAGCACGAGGCCATCGAAGAAGCCGAAGAAGAAGAGCAGGAGACCGAGCGGGAGCAGCAGGAGGAGCCCACAAGCGACGAGCAACTCCCTACCCACCAGCAAGGTGCACAAGACAGTGCCTCTCAAGACCCCGCCCCCCACCCGACTCCCTCTCCCCCTCCCGCCCACGTCCCCCTCGCCCACACTCCCAAACTACCTGCTTGCACTCCCACTCGTGGTGTCTTCCCCCTAGAAGCGGCGGTCCAGGAGCAGCTGCAGTTCTACGTGCACTCTGTGGACCAGCTGTTCTTCACGGGCCTCTGGTTGTGCGGCCACTGCGATTATCAGACGGTGCGAGGTGCGTCGATTCAGCAGGGCGGAGAAGCGGACTTCTGGTTTCAGCCGCCGGCGTGCTGTGTCAAGTGTCAGAGCCCCCCACACAGGGCATACCCCTCAGCGGTCCCGGCATTCGCGACTGGCCCGTGGAACAAGGTCTACGACTACTCGCAGTTCCCCCCAGCGCAGCTCAGCGAGGAGGGTAATGAGGCTCGCGGCCAGCACATCGTAAACCTCGCGAAGTAATCCCACACCCACTACTTCGACTCCTTTTTGCTGCCCCCCTTCCCCGACCCCTTTTTCCTGCTGATCGCCGCTGCTGCCTGTGGTGTGCTGCTGACCGACGGTGTCGCTGCTGATCGTGTGTGTATTGAGGGACTCGTCTGGCGCTGCGTGTGAGCTGGTGGTGGATCGATCGCTGTCTGGTGTTGATAACTGAGAGACCTGTGGTTGGTCCGTTCATAGTGGGACTCGTGTGTATATCGTGAACAAGCGGTCCATCCCATCCTTCCTGTTCGAATCCATCCTTCCTGTTCGATCCCATCTTCCTGTTCGAACCCGTCATTCCCGTTCGAATCCATCATCATGTCACGTGCACAGCCACATTCGTCCATGCATACGAGTGACAGCATCTTGGGGCCCATGCCGTCACGTGGCCCACCTGACTTCAATGCTGCTGCTCCATCCCGCCCCTCATCATTACATGAATCAACTGCTGCTGTTCATGCTGCTGCTGCTCCATCACATGCATCACATGACCCATCTGCTGCTGCTGCTTCATCCCATCCACTACAGGCACCACCGCCACAAACACCACATACACCTGCACACATCGCATCACGTGCTGCATCATCGGGCCATTCGAGGAGGAATGTCGTCACACCTGTGGAGGGAGATGGGCAGCCGTCCAGCCGTCTCGCTGCAGCGAATGCAAAAGCGTCGATCACGGCATGGCGGGCGTCGGAGAGGTTACAGGGGTTCTTTGAAGGCCCCAGCGCGCCCAGTGGGCCTGCTGCTGGTCAGCTGGATCACACCCTCCCTCCGCGTGAGGTCGCGGCCGAGCCCCACCGGCTGAATACTATGCAGCTGCGCAATGGGAGCCGTATCCCCACATCTCCAAGCACGAATGCCCAAGCCGTTGTCTGTGCTCACCCATTCGCTGGCGAGGCTCGGGGGGGCCCTACCGTTTCCACCGAGAGAGCTGCTGCGGGGCTGTCGGACGGGCTGGACAGGTCGACTTCGAGAGGCACAGACAGGCGGAGACGGAGCGATGATAACGAGGGAGACGTGTTTGATGACGAGGGTGACCAGGACGGCCAGGACTCCCCTTCACCATCGCCGCCCACCACAAGTGGGCAGTCGGGTAGGGAGGCCCCAGGACGGGCGTCCGCTGCTGCACAGCCGGTTGCCGTGGCTGATGGTGGTGGTGCTGAGGGTGACGATTCACCTCGGACGGTCAGGCAGCTCGACACCTCGCCTGACACTCAACCACAAGCAGAGGCACAAGGACGACCGTCGCATGGACCTGCCCACCGGCGAGAGGGTGACACGTCGGATGAATCGATGACTGTTAGTAGAAGAGAGTTTGAGGCGATGCAGGCGGAGCTGGCCAGGTTGAGGCAAGGGGCATCCTGCCGTAGCACTCCTGCGTCGGTATATCAGCGCACTCCTGGGGAGCTCCGTCTTCGGCCACGAGTGTCTGTGGTGGTCAAGTATGGCGACATTCGCAAGTGGGACTGGGCTCAAGTGCTGCCTGTCTTGTACCCACCCACCACGGATGCGGATCTCTTGTTGGCGACCTTGCAGGAGCAGATGGAGGTGTTGGAAGGCCTCACTCATGCGGAGAGGCGGAGAGTCTTCTGGGATTGGGTACAGAGAGCCGAGGAAGAAGGCATCGTCCGCTACGATGACGGCGCCGGAACGCTCACTCGTGTCATAGCGGACCGGCCAGGCTGCAGAGTCAGTCCCATCCATCTCCCGGAGGTCTCGGAGATCCCCACCCGCCCACCCGGTCGCACGGCATCGATTCCCCCGGGCGCGTCTGCTGTGTGTGCGGGGGGTGCGGTCGCACGCGGAAGAGCTGCTGCACGCGAGAGGGGCACTGGAGGGGCTGGACGAGAGGCGGAAGCACACCAACAGCACCAGCCGGAGGTGAGGCACCCGCAGCAAAACCCCCGCCCACATAATACCCAGCCCCCAGCAGGCGACTCAAGGACCGCAGGGCAGCCAATGCAGAACGCATCTTCGGCTCAGCAAAACCACCCACATAATGCACCCAATGAGGACCGCCAGCCGCCCCTCCGTATCTTGCAGCGAACGTCTGCCGAGGCAAAAGGATCAGGGGACCAACACGTCCCCTTCACCGCAGTACAACACTTCGAGGCCCCGCCCAACGTCGCAGCGTCCAGCCAGCAAGTCCACCACACTAACCAGCGGACACGTGCGGCCGCTGCATATGCAACAGCCGGCGGCAGCGGCGACCCAGATTGGCCACACAGAAATCCTGGGGACCGTGACAGTGGACGTGGCAACAACGGAGGACGTGGGCCTGATGGTGGAGGGAATAGTGGAGGCCGCCGCGAAGGTGCTGGTGGAGAGGGCCGGCGGGGTGGTGATCGTGATAGGGACCGACGAGACGATCGCCGACGAGATGAGAGGAGCCGTGACGGACACCTCAGCCCCGTCCTCCAGGATGTGTTCGAGAGAGAAGATGATGACTTGGGCAGGGAGTGGGAGGATATGGTGGCTCGCGAGCGCGCGAATCGAGCGCATGAAGAGAGGCTGCGACGAGAGGAGGAACGTGAGCAGCGGCGGCGGGCGATGAAAGAGCTGAAGCCGTCCCCTTTCAGTGGCGATGATGGGATGCCGGCAAAGGAGTGGTTGAGAGAGTTGGAAATGTGGTTCGACGAGGCTGCCGTAGTCATCCAGATGAGGCCGCAGATGTTCCACAAGCAGCTCAAGCCAGGAAGCAGTGCAGCCGCTTGGTGGTACAACTTGCCAGAGGTGACTCCCGGCAGCTGGAATGAGCTGCGGGAGGCATTCATCGAACAGTACGTGCCACGCGCAATCTCAGACCTCATCTATCGACAAGACCTGAAGCGGATGCGGATGGAGGACAATGAGACGATCGATGCATTCACCAAGCGTTTCAACATCCAATGCACGAAGGTCAATGGCCTCACCGATGACGAGAAGAGGACGAACTATCTGTCCGCATTGGCTCGACCGGTGTACAACGCCATGAAGCCGTTGCTGATTGGGAAGAACGACCAGGAGATGAAGAAGGTCAACTATGCCTACCTCTGTATGCTCGCCCGCGAGGCAGCACCTGAAAAATACCGGAAGAGCGACACTTCAGATACAGCTGACCGTGACAAGCGCCCCAACAAATCGAGCAATCGCCGCGGCGACAAACCTCCACGCCCTCTCTTCGCCGCAACGAGCACCGACAACGCTCTCGCCTCACTAATGGCCGTGACGACCCCCGCACTGCTTGCATCACTGCAGCAGCCCGCCACCATAGCAGCCAAACAGGACGATAGTGAGGATGAGGATCAAAGGGAAGAATATGAGGAGGAAGAGGAGGACGACGACGACGAGGCGGATGAGTTGACCACGGGCAAGACATCGATTGGCAGCACCACAGCCGACCAACTCACAGCTGCCCAGGCAGTGGCTGCCCTCCAGCTGAATGCCCTTAGCAACCCCATGCTCGCCCTCGCAAATCCTCTGGCTGCCCTTGCCAATCCATTCGCTGCTCCACTGGCGGCTCCGCTCGCCGCTCTCTTCAACAAACCCCAAGGCCTCTCAGACACTCGACTCGACGAACTCTGCAGACAGAACCCAAAAGCCAAGGACAATCTGAAGAAGTTCCCGTGTGAGCACTGTGGACACCCATCCCATTCCATGATGACCTGCATCAAGCTCAAGAAGCTGCTCGTGGAGGCATGCGACGATCCATCGCGACGTCAGTCTGGCCCGCAGAGAGGAGGCGCACCCGACAAGCCCACCAAGTCGCCGCCTCCTCGCAAGCCACCTGAGGAAAACGAGAAGCCTTCGCGCCCCTGAGGGGTGGAGTGCGAGGGCCCATCTCACCACCCCTCCCCCTCATGCATACGACTGACCCACCTGCTCGTGCGTGTAATGGGGATGCGGCCGTTGACGACGGACGTGACGGATGTGACGGGGATGCGGACTGCTCTGACGTGGCATCGTCGATGAGTGCGTGTGGCGCCTCCTCCGATGGGTATCATCTGAGTGGATTTGTCGACGATCAGCCGACAGACGGGTTGCGAGAGGGGGCTGCTGGGGATGTCGATGCTGATTCGCAGCCGTCTGCCGGTCCGGCTGTTGTTCGTGCTGAATGCCCTTCATACCTGCATGCTGCCCGCCACCATGTCGCCCGCCTTGTTCGTACTCATCCATTTGCCATCTTGTATGAGGGGCCGGGCGACGCATTCAAGGGACATCTGCGGCACCGCCGACAGGGGGGTCGGCGCCAGAGGAACTCGACTCACGCGGCTGCCGGGCTTCTTGCAGTGCTGCCTTCGGCGGGCCTGCTGATGTCACCAATTGGGGCGTTGGGCGTGGGTGCATGCGGGAGGCAAGGAGATCGTGGGAGTTGCCAGGAAGGTCCACGCTCGTCTACTCAGTCGGAGCCCCAACCAAACACAAGCCAGCCGTCCTTCAGCGGGCCGTCACTCTGCTCGTTGGCTCAGGATCAGCCACCATCGCCAGCGTCACGGTGCCAGATCCTTCTCGGCAGGGAGCCTGAAGATGAAGGCACGACACACACAGCCGTCGACAGAAGCCCCCCCTCCCCAAGGCAGGACACTGCTACCCTTCCCCTTGCTTCTGTTGACCCACCGTGTGGCGAATGGGCGGAGCTGGTCAACCCCTCCTCTGACGATGAGTCGACGTGCAGCTCGACTGCCCGAGGAAGGGCTCGGTCATATGATGGATGGGACACCCCATCGCTCGCCGCCCTGCCAGAAACACCGGACCACAATGTGTGTGTCCTGACCCCTACCCCACTCGTCTCCCCTGGACACTCACCTGGCAGGGATCGAGACCCTGGCTGGCGGCACTTGTGGGTGGAAAGACGGCCCCGTACGCATAAAGGTGATGATCATCTTCACGCGTTGGCATCTCTGTGGATGGAGATCGACGGTGATGGAGCGTCGTCTGCCGTTGACAGCAGCACCCCCTTCCTCCCCTCCTCGTCTTCTTCGACCTCGTCGAGCCTTGCCTCTTGGGACGCACGCGAGAGCTGCCGGACCGACGATCGACGACGAGCATTCATGGCGTCCCTGGTAGAGGCGCTGAAGACGAAGGAGGAGAAACTCAGAGCTGCATACGAGGAGAAAGGCAAGAACCCCTTGGTGAAGGCTCAGCTGGGAATGATTGCTCACGTCGAGGGCATCCTGACGGCGGTCTTGGTGGACACTGGGGCGGGGCCCTCGTGCATTAGCCATGAGCTCTTCCTCCGACTGAGCCGCCTCAGCCCAGCCATCCGTGAGAGCCTTCGAGCTCGCTTCACCCCACTTGATGACACGATCGTTCCAGAAGGCGACCAGAACACCCCTCTCGCCGTTGTCGGAGTGGTCCGTCTACGTGTGGGCAACCACAGAAGAGACAATCTGTGGCCGTTCCGCATCGTGAAGGGGCTCTGTGCACCTGTGATCGTGGGCATGGATATGTTGGGGTTCGCTTCTGCCTTCAACATGCGCAAGCAACGCCTGCGGCTGCCTGGCTTCCCTCAGTTCCATCTGATCGGTTATCCTGACGCCAGGGCGCGGGTTGGTCTTGCAATGCCTCAGGCGGCTCCAGCTGCTGATATGGCCTACCGATGTGAGGACCTTGGGGATGTCTTTGATCGTCTGTGCCCATTGCATGCACCTGAGGAGACACCATCCATGTACACACCCTCTTTGGATTCATCTTCGTTTTCGACGTCACCGTACCCACCGTCTGTGTCGCGACATGCATTTGTTTGCAGTCAATGAGCGTTGTTCATTGGCTTTGCATGGTTGTGCTCCCTTTTGTTTGCTTGGTACGGACTGATGCTTAGACGAACTTCGTCGCCCGTTCTAAGTATAGACTTGCCTTTCACAGTGAGGCAGTAGTCGCGGAGATAGATAGCGATGGCCACAATCATAAAAGGAATGCCAGCAGTTCTGCTCTCCATGGGTTGGACGGGCGGGGAGAGGGGGGGCGATAGAAGTGCGTGGGTTGGTGAAAGTAATGGCGTGAGATGAGTGAATGTATGGGAGAGAGAGTGCCGTCCGCACGTCTCATTCTTCTGCCTCACGCACAGAGAGAACCAGTGAGAGGACAGAAATCATAATGCGATGGCTGTCTCCCTTTTTTCCTTGCGTGTGTGCTGTCTTCAGTCCTCACTGACCGGTGCGTGAGCTTCAGGGTTTGAGTGAGTGAGTGGGGTCTGCTCTGTCTGTCTGTGTGTAGTTGTGTCTTCTTGAATGATTCGCTTGGCCTTTTCTGCTGTCTGCAGGGCGAGGAAGCCGAACAGCCACATCGAAGGTTTCTGGCGTTCTCATGCTCCTGCCCCATCATGATTGGCTGTCCCTGTTGATTCACTATGGGCTGACCGTTGCCATCCGTCCGTGGCACAAGTATCTTCACCGGCGGGACGTCTTCATCCGTGGTTGGTAGGTAGATCTTCATGTTCATCTCTCTTGCTGCTAGATAGGCTCTCAAGATAAAATCACATTCGCGCCACTTGATATCGCCACTCCTGCCGGTAAGATGGGGAAGGTGGTTTTCGTCTCAAGATTGAGTGTGGTCATCTTTGTTGTCGTTGTTGTTATTGTCTTTCTTCAGGTACGGCTGGTTGTTGACTGCTGCTAATGCTGAGCTCCCAATCGAATAAGAATAAGTGGCTTATAGCCATGTTAGCATCTGTCCCTCGTCATTACTGAGCTCGCAGGGCCTCCGGCCTTTTTTTCTCCTTAATATGACGGCTGCTCGGGCCACACCTGCCAGCATCATATCCAGCTCGAGCAGCTCTGCAGAATGAGTACAGAATCGACCCCAGTCTCAGCCGACTCAGCCCATCCGCCCCCGCCGTCTCAGGAGAGCGTCTCTGCAGTGCTGGGAGACGATGTTTCGCCCTTGCAGCCAGCCGCTGGTCCTGTGCGGTGTTGCCCATGCAACAAAGACCGGAACAGTACCACTGGATCGAGGTGCAAGAGGAAGGGGAAGAAGCGGGGCTGCCCCTGTTTCGAGAAGGGCAAGAAGTGCACCAACTGCCGTTCCTGTGACCTAGGCATATGTGAGAATCGAGAGCCCGAGGACAATACCTTCACCGCCGAGGAATCGAACTTTCCCTCTACTCATCCTCGTGCCTTCCACTCGGATGAGTCTTCGCTACGATGCGGATCCGCGGCGTATGTCCCTCCCAAGTGTGCCAGCTGCCACATCCGCCCGGCGTCCTCAAGCAAGGGCATCTGCTACGCCTGCCTCAGCAATGGTGCCGAGCCTCTCCACCGCCCGCCTCCCGCCATACCCCTCGCTCCCCCTGCTGGCCCTCCGACGTCTTCATTCGTCCAGGAGAGGATTCATGAGGCCTTCGGAGCCACCGATTTCAATCAACAGAGCAACCTCATGGACACCGACTGGCAGCGCTGGCACGCCCGCCTCGGCCCGCTGCGAGGGTGCCTTTGGGATCCGCCGGGTGCTTCGGGGAAGCGGCTGGCCCGACTGCTTGCAACCGAGGGCCGTCGGTGGCGTGAGGAGCAGCTGCCGAGTGAGCGCGTCCTCATCTGCGCTTGCACGATTCTCTACCGGGCGCCAGATGTCACTGGCGAGGACATCGCCGAGACGGTGGAGCGGCGGATGGACCAATGGGAGAAGGGCGACTTCGAGCAGCTCGTACAGGAGGCTGAGCGCAACAACGCCTTCCTGGCCACCAGACCTGTCGGCAAGGACGACGCCAACGAGGCCACTCTGCGCCAATTCCGTCGCCTCATCGACAAGGGCAAGGTCAGGCAGGCCGTTCGGCTCCTGACCGAGCGGGAAGGGGGAGGCGCGCTGGACCCCAACGACCTGGCTGAGGCCGACCCTGCGGGCCGCACCGTTCGGGAGGTCCTCGAGTCGAAGCACCCTGCCCAGAGTGACCCTGACCCATCCTGCTTCCTCGACCGGCCCCTCCCTCCCCTCACCCAGGTCGAGATCACCGCCAACCACATCGAGCGAGCGGCACGGGCAACGAAGGGAGGCGCCGGCCCTGTTGGTGGCGAGTCATCGGTCTGAAAGATTCTCCTCCTCAAGTGCGGCGCGGCAAGTGCGGAGCTGCGCAGTGAGTTAGCGGCCATGGCCTCACGCATCGCCAATGAGGACGTGCCCTGGGAGCAGCTGCAGGCCCTGCGCGCATGTCGGCTTATCGGCCTGGACAAGCAACCGGGTGTGCGGCCCATCGGGATCGAAGAGGTCCTCATGCGCATCATGGGCAAGGCGATGGCCAAGGCGGTCGGGGTGGATGCGGAGATTGTATGCGGTGCGGACCAGCTGTGTGCCGGGCTCAAGGGGGGCGTGGAGGGTGCCATTCACGCGGTCTCCGGCCCGTTTGACTCGGGAGGCGTGGAGTGCGCGCTGCTGGTGGATGCGACGAACGCCTACAACACGATGAATCGCGCTGCCGCCCTGTGGAACGTCCGCGTCTTGTAGCCGTGGTGCTCTCGCTTCCTGTTCAACACCTATCGCGGCCATGCGGCCCTCTACATGCGCGACCAATCCGCGCCGCTGTGGAGTCGAGAAGGCACCACACAAGGCGACCCCTTGGCCTCCCTCTTTTACTCCGTGGCGACCCTGCCGCTTGTATGGGAGATGAAGCGGCCAGCAGAGGAGGGCCCTCAGGCGTGGTTTGCCGACGACTCCGCCAAGGTGGGAGACCTCCAGCCGGTGCGTGACTGGTGGGATGAGCTGCAGCGGAGAGGGCCATTGAGGGGCTATCACCCCAACGGCAAGAAGAGCAAGCTGGTGGTGCGGGCGGGGTGTGAGGAGCGGGCGCAAGAGGTGTTTGGCGATACTGACGTGGAGATCGTGAGTGGCGCTCGATATATGGGGGGCTTTGTGGGGACCGCAGAGGGCAAGCGGGCCTACGCCACCG